TCATGTTAGAATGTTCAAAGTGCATTGGTGGAGCAGAAGATATTCATTTTTTAACTCAGTATTTTTCTAATATCTAATACTTTTCCTGCATGTGTAATGTATGATATGGGTGTGTGTCCTGATTATAGTTTGTATTGTATATGTAGAACACAGGAAGGAAACCCAGTAGGTCACACAGACATGCAAGAGAATGGGATCATTCTGGAGGTGAAAAGTCATTAGGGATCACTGCAGTTCAGATGAACCCTTGCCTTTTTGACCACGGCCTTGATTGACCTTCACGATAATGCGCTATGAAATCTATTTTAGTTAAATGCCATAACAGTATACGTAGGTTATATAATAGGCAAATGTATTCCTCACAGTGACAATAATTCTATTTATCTTATGTTATTTATAGCAATTCGATTTACAAATCCGTTTTGGTTTCCCTGTGTTTGACTCCGCTGATTTAAATACACAGCAGTCTAAGTATAGAGCTTCTGTCTTTGATAGCTGGTGTATATACAGTAAGTGTACCAGCTAATCTAGTAAATGCATCATTTCCTAGTCTCTCACCTGAACTTTTGTATGTGCCTCATCTGTTTTGCCTGCGTTGAAGGCCAATAATGGAGTGTGTGATAAAGTCTCCTGCTTCATTTCATCCGTACTCCTCTCCTTATCTAATCCCATTTAGGGTGGCGCTTGAAGAAACATCCGTGCCTCCTGGTAATGAAGAAATACATTAACTCAGCTACAAAAAAGCATCACTGCACAAAGCCCGTTTTCTCCTCCAGTAATCCCTGTAATCTGGCATCCATTTTTATGACTGCTTTTGTCTTTATTTATGCAATACAGTTGTAATTAAATAGTCAGAGGCAATATCTGGAGCTGGGCTGCACTGAGTCATTAAACCAGCAGGTCAGGTTGAACTGAGGCTTTGACTTGTGGAAGGATTTATTTCAACTATTTGAATGTAAAGAGGTCACTTGAAGCTCGAGTGTTTGGTTTATGCAGTGACATGCTTCATATTGTCAACTTTCCTCAAGGCAAACTGGGGAAATATATTAGAGATGTTAAGTTTTGTGTTATGACTTGCAAACCATTAGAACAGTAGTTGTATTTAGTCTTTGTGGACACTAGAACTCAAAAGTATGGACATAAGGTGCAGACTTCAGACGTTAACACATGCTCTGCCGCCCCCTGTTGGGCTCTTAACGCGTTGACACAATAGTTATTGTCCTGTATTAACGACGTATACAATTATCAAGTCCTGACCAAAACCTGAGCGTTCCATTTCTGTATCTTCTTTATTGTTGTATTCAGTTGCTGTTCACCGTTATATAAGTGGCCGGAAGTTTGTATTCCTGTTAGATACATATAAAATTATAATCGTACGATGAATGTCTTTTGATTTGAATTTATTGTAGAACAAAAAGTTGAATTTGAAAAGTAAATTAATCAACTGAGATTCATTTCTTGGCAGTTTCTTCCTCCTTTGACAAATTCTTGATGATTTCTTCTTTCTTAGCCAGGAGACGTTCCTCTCTGCGTTTGCGAGCCTCCTTTGTCTTTGAGCGCCTAGCCTCGGCCTGGTCACTGGATAGTTGATGGTGAAGTGAAAGGATATTTGCTCAGTTATAATTCATTCAAAGATAAACAAAGATTAACATTTTTAATGTGCCATTTTAAGACTCCTAACTCAAACTGTAATAGTTTGTAACTTACGCCAGAAGCTTCTTGCGAGCCTTGTCTGCCTTCAGCTTGTGAATGTGCTCCATCAGAATGCGTTTGTTCTTGAAGACGTTACCCTTAGCCTTCAGGTACAGACTGTGGTACCTGGTGGGAACAGGGAAGAAGTGTTACATAAATGACTACCAATAGCAACTCTGTAAAACTGGAAGTAAAAATTAGATCCATGCTTACATGTGCCTGTCAATTTTCTTTGACTCCCTGTAGCGACGAAGAAGACGACGAAGGATTCTCATGCGCCTCATCCATATCAACTTTTCTGGCATACGAGCATTGGCCGTACCCTTTCTCTTACCTACGGCAAAGAAAAATTGTGAGTCGCAGAGTAAATAACAATAGAACAGGTTGTATTCATGTCCCAGAAAAAATGTTAAGCAAAAGGCCCATACGTACCATAACCCATGTGACGACCCTTGCGCCGAGCCATTGTGTTCTTGCGGCAGCGAGCGCGGGAATGAACTGTCACAGGTTTCCTGATAATTAAGCCATCCTTTACCAGTTTCCTGATCTGCTGACCTGTGGCACACAGTTTTTTCATATTGTCAGAGGATGAGTAGCAGTTCAAAAGCATGAACCTCAAGCTAATAGGGCAAAGAATCAAACTCACGAGAGTTTGCATTTGCAATCTCATTGGTCTCATTGGGATCCAGCCATACTTTCTTCTTGCCACAGCGCAGGACGCTGGACGCCAATCGCTTCTGGAGCCTGAGCATGCTGTTGAGTAAAAAAGTAGTTCAATAGAATAAGGACTACAAAAAGTGTGTCATTATGAATAGTAATTTAATTTCATCGACCTGCACTAAATAAGACATAATAATCTGCATTTTATGGTCTTATTAAGAAGACAATTTATCAATATGGTCACCAATTAACCGATGAGGCTAACAATTGTTCGCTTCAGACATTGTTTATTATAGCGTTTTAAATACATTTGATTAACGCACATGACTTGTCTTACTGATCAAAAAATAATGAGGACGTTTCTTTAGTGCAGGTAATGTTTTACCTGGTTGGTGGAAAGTAGAATGATCACTGTGGTTATTTTTCCTCTGAGGCAAATTAGATCTATTTAATTTTAAAAGCTAAAGCTACGACTTTCTCACGCCAGCTTGCTCGGCTATCAAGACTTTAGTGTGTTATTATTTTTAATGAACATAATATATTAAGTATAACCAGCAAACTGCGAAATTGTATTCTTTGTGATTGTGTCGACCTAACAAATCTGCTGCGAACATGTTGTGACATGTTATAGCTATCTTAGCCAGGTTAGCTCAAAATAACATGCTGCTTTTGTCCGTATTCAAAAGAAATAAACAACTTGCGTTTAGGCTAAATTTAGTCTTATGATTAAATTATAGGTTTACAAAGAACGTATACCACCACATCAACGATTATCATCGAATTAAAATATATATTAACGTCAAAACACGTAGCTTACCTCATGGCTGCCACTAGCTTGATAGACTGAGTCTGCGGAACCGGAAACCGTGTTTTTTAACCATTATAGTTATGGTCACATGGGTAGCTTCATTTTAGCAATATTAAAATAGTTTTCTATAAATTTGCGTTATGTGTAGTAATAATAATTTAAAGTTTAGTTAGACGTTATTGCTTTTGACATTATTTTTTAAACATTTAACTTAAAAGCGTACATTTATTGCGGTGCAGTACAAATGTTTTTGTGAGTGTCCACTAGAGGGCAATACGAGACCAAAAATGTTTACACCAATGGTAGTGCAATACAGTGCAGAGAAGCATAAGTATTAAGTGTAGATAGTTTTCCTTTAAATTATTCAATACATAAGGAAATTTTGCTCCATAATTTTAACTGACCACTTAGGACCAGCTCATCTCCTAGCTCATATTACATCAAATGTAATATTGTTTGTCAATGAAAGATTTTTAAATCAATAATTTTGAATTTTACTCACACTCATTACACAACGAATCCCTCTCTTGATATTTCAAAGATGTACCTGACAAAAATCTCATACACTTCTGCTCAGCTTAAATGCTACAGTAAAGAATACTTGTTTTTATTTATTACAATATTATTCCTTTCATCAATATACACAACCCAGTGGATCCTCTCTGGTAAAAGTGAGCAAACAGAAGTGTTGATTTCCGGCATGATCACTTTCGTATCTTGGTCCATCATAGCTGAGAGAACAGCTGTGCAGCACTGTCAACATTCACAGATTCTTTTGGTGGATCTTTGACAACCTGAGTAAATAATAATACAAGATTCAGGAGGTTTATGGTTACGTATTGTGTACACGTTACATGAGCATTATAAGTAATTTAATTTGTTGTAAAAGTAGATGTAGCTTTATTTATACAAAATTTCTTTTTATGTAAGACTCTTAGTTGACAGTTCAAAATATATATTTTTTTCTTTTTTACCTTGATTTGTTTCTTAGGTTCGGGAGCAACAGACTTCGAAACACTTCTGACATCTCTCTGGACCTCGGAGAAGATTTGATTCAGATTCTCTACCCTCTCATTTTTGACAGCCTTGATCTGTGAAGACAAATCATTTATTATATGCAACAAATGTAATTGTACATGTAAAATTGACAAAAACTAAGAGAGGGCTCTTACATGTTTTAGAGTTGTTGTCACAGGCTTTGCTTTATTCTTGTTCTTTAAGTGCTTGTTTGCCACTTGGAAGACGTTTTTCTGTTTTTTTCCTTTTTGTTTATTCTTTGCCATGTTACCTACAGACATAAATAATAAACATTGACATTATAATGGCAAAGTTATCACTATGAAGACCTTATTTTTTACCTGTTCCCTTGTCTCATATACTCATATAATGACATTATGCTTGATAAAGTTCCCTCCATTAAATATTACAGGTCATTTACTTATAGCATCTAAAAGTTATTTCCCGTTCTCTGTCCAACAGTATCCCTAAACTGTGACGCCGCAACTTGTTGTCAAGTCGGTTGCAATTTGCTGCATGCTAACTGTAAACACGTTCCATTTTGCGGCTATATTGGTTTGATTTTATGAACCTGGTCGTGATATTTTTTATTTTACTATAGTTCAGTTCTACGTTATTGATTATAAAAACAAAACCAAAGACAAACCTCGTTAATAAACTAGTTGTTGCTATTGCAGTCCTCTTTTACAAACGTGCTCGCTCCTCTGCGCGATGTTTACGCGACAGTCGACGAAAGATTGCGTCACATTTTGGCCGCTGCCCCAAAACATCGGTCAGTCCTCCTTTCTGTCATACGGCGTTGCAGAGGCGTGCAGCAAAACCGGTCTAATTCTGCCGAGGCGAGCAGAGCTAACGCGTGGATACCGTATGACGCTCAAGTCTTCGTGTCATTCATGTCAAAGATTTCGACGTCCAGTTCATTTTTGAGATATGAGTCAGCGAAACACAATAACTAAGGTAAGGTATATTTGATAAATCAAGGGCTAGCGAAGCTAGTGCTAACAAACCGCTGTCACCGGCGCCGTGCGCTTTTTGTTCTGGAAACAATGCAGTCTTACACGAACCCTGAAAGCGCGTGGACGGACTCCAATTCATTAGGTAGGTGTAAGGATTTTGCTCCGTTATCAGGTGGTGTGCGGTACAATTTTACATTTTACTTAAGCTCGAGAAGAGCACTGAAAGCATCACGACTCCTGTCGGCTACCGGCAGCTTCAGCTGCAGTTGCTGAATTAGATGTTTCATTCACCTGCACACATACACAAGCACACATGCATTACAGATATAAAACATGACTGTAATGCATTTGTGTTTTATAAAAAAAAATTTAAACACTTCTTTTTTACTACTTATAACAAACTTATAATGTAGTGTTTATAAAGGATGTATGTTTTTGCATAAAACCATGGTTCGATTAAAACCATGTTTTTGCATATAGCCATGGTTCCATGCAAGCCCATGTTGTTCGTGTGCACCGGGGTCAAATAGGCGTCTGGTCTGCCGCTGTCATTGTTTGCTAGTTACTGTACTGTAGTTACTCGCTCCATCTGTCACATTGAGACTTCTCCCGTTTGACCTGCTTCTTGTGGGCAGCTGTCAGCATGTGAGACGGATTAACCTAGCCGTGTGTTTGACCTTAAATATTCCTGTTGTTTAAAATGAAATAAAAGTGTATAATTAATTGGTGACCGGCTATATTCCCTGAGGTCTGCTTTAAAAAATCCACCATTTGTTCATGTGTTATAAATTAGTTTGTACAATATGTATAATATGTTCTGCTATTCTGGTCATTATTACTTTTTGTGTTAAATTTATAAGTTTCCTTTAAACCGTAGGCATTAATATCAGTTCCAGCTACATTTAAAAAAAATGATGCATTAAAATGTGCTTTTGTTTTTTTTCAGCATCCATAAGTTACACATTCTAACCTCAATTATGATCTTGTGTCAAGAATGCTGTGATAGCTGGAACAGAGCAACTCCTCAGTGATGTTTCTAATTTTAGGAAACCTCTATAAGCTATCAGATTTATGAAAGAGACACTGTTTCACTGTGGAAACATCCTGATTACCATCTCTGCAGCCTGTGCTGAAGTACTTCATATATAAATGCGTGACATTATTCTTAGGAGTCTACATAACAGTATGCTTTATGTACTGTCCAAAAAAGCAAGAGCAGTGTGTTACTGTACTGACAATATCACTTACAGCAAACAACCACGTCCACAACAGGCGGACTGGAGCAGTGTCCATTTTCTATTGTGTTAACTGGTATTTGGGGCCCAGAAGGTGTACACCTCCTTCTTTAGAAAAGGATTAGCATGCCTATTGTCTCCCAAATGACAGATGTTCATGGCCGTTGTGTCATTTGAGGTCATGTTTAAGTGAATATTGAATAAAACATATTTATTTTTCTGATAATCAATTATGTAAAATATATTTTTAAACATTTGCAAATTCTGCTATAAAAATACTTCTTGCATTATTTTTTTGTGCACAATGCAAAAAACCCCATTGAATCAGTGAGTCATTTTTTTCATTGTTAATAGATGATTCAGTTGCTCAAGAATCAAAGAAACCTTTGTTTTGTAAGTGTATTGTTGTTTACATCTTACAGAAGTGTAACCTGAGCAACCACAATACACCTGAGAGATAGGGAAGCTGGAAACACCTACTGATTTCTCTGGACACATCCTAAAATCTACAACTATTATGACACCATGGTTCCCATCCTGATGAGCCAGTTCAAGTCCCTATGTGGTCTCAATGTTGTTAGTTAAATGATGAATATGCATTATATGAGGTTTTTTTTTATATATCTTTAGATTTTTATGTGTATTTATGTATTTATTTGTTTAATTAGTTATTTGTACTTGTTGGCTGATTTTGGAGCTGAGTCTCTTTAAATAAAACCAAATTATTTCACAAATGTGAATCAGATTTTTTCAGCCTCTGGAGCCAAGGTATTCCAATCCAAATTCAGCAGTGCTTCTAACTATCGTTAGGTTGCCGTCTCACGTTCCTTTGGTGTCCTTTGTTTGGGGCACATGAAAGGATCCTAGCCACTCAACTTTGTAAGACAATTATCGCCAACCACCAAACTGGTGCCAAAGCCATGGCTTAAGCCTCCTACAGAAGGCCCACTGTGCTTCTGTAATACGGTCATGTTAACGGCAGCTTGTCTAATCCACTTCATTGTAGATTCAGTGCTGGAAGGTTTGGTCTTTAGCACTTTGAAGTTCCAGGAGCTATGGGGTGACTTTGTGGGAAAACCAAACGGTAGAACAACTTTGTAAATCAATATTCTGCACTCGTACGTGAAGAATATTGATTTACAAAGTTGGTTCTTACTATGTTTGAGTTTGTGTCGCACAGTCCTCTCTGCTGACTATTGTCATATTATCGGTCTATGTGTATATTTGGTTCTTCTCGGTTTAATCATGTAGGTGTCTGTATTATTAAAACGGCCAAATTAAAGAAACCAAAAATGTTTTTGTCGTGACCAGCGTGCCAGCTAGTGGTGTTTGCCCAGGCGGAAAGCAGAGAAAGGACGGCACAGGATATGGAGTTGTCAGACGGCCTGTTGCTGCAGGTCAACAATGGAGACCAGTGGTGTAACCGCTGGAAGAATCCCAACGAGGACTCGGTAAGTTATAGACCCGGATCTGAACCATTCATCTTTGCAATGGGATACCTTTTTAGATACAATCAGCCTCGCACGTCTTTTCATTTAATGGGCGTTCAGTGTCTTTGTTACCATGGAGTGACCCTTTTATGTGTGCCCTATTATTCCCTAATCCTTCAGTCATTTTGTGTGCTGCTCTTTTTTTTAGGACCGCAGCATTAGTCCCTCAGTCCTGCGCTGCGTTGCCAGCACATGGAAGGAAGGCCTGCTGAATAGAAAAAGACCCTTTGTGGGCCGCTGCTGTCACTCCTGTACACCACAGAGCTGGGTAATGTTACACCAACCATAATTAAGTGCAACCTGAAATCATTTGCTGCAGCTTTAGTTGGGTCAAGTTTATTGTTTGTTCCACTGTGAGGTGTAGTTTCTTTTTAAGAAACATCATTAAACATGTTTTTGTGAAGTAAGTTCCATATATTAAACATTGAGTGACCCACTTATTCATAGTCAAATTATATTAGTGCTGTGTATACAAAAATGGTTTCACTTTTAAGTCACTCTAGTTATCTCAAATTATTTTATCTCATTTCAATTTGATCAGTCAAAGAGTGGTGACCATATACTGTAAGATTTCAATCTTACTGTACCATAGAGCTATATGCATCTACTCAGCAATGTATATACAATGTATGTTCAGTTTAAATGAGTAAATATATGTGTGACGTTTTCGTTGTAGGTAGATCACCTGGTTAGTTGAACAGTAGACCCCGGGCCAAAAATCTATCAAATCTAGTTTTTATCATTAGTAATATTTTTTTTTCCACACAGGAGAAACTGTTTAACCCAAGCATTCCGTCCCTGGGACTACGCAATGTCATCTACATTAACGAGACCCACACTAGGTATGTACTGTAAAGTGTACACTGTACACTGTATTTTTTGTTTTTTCTTTTGGTATTCACTTTGTTTTGAGATATTATGTCTTTTTAATTATATATATATATATATATATTTATATATATATATATATTGATGACATACACTGGCCTCCCTAACAGCCTGTGTATGATAAATCCAGAGAAGTGAAACGGTGGAAGGCTAGACGGGTGAATAATTTAAAGTTTTTGTTAACGGATACTGGGGCACGTGCCGCTTGGGACTGAGCTCAACAGGCAAAAGTCAATGTGAAGACTCCTTAAATATCTCACTAATAAAACACACAAAAGAAAATTTGAAAACATCAGCTAGATATCAATCTAGACCCTGGTCTTAATTAAGTGTGTCTTATCAAATAGAAAATACAAGAAGTAAAGATATGTACGTAAACTCGATTGAAAACAATAATTGTTGGTGTCATTTAGTTCTCTGTTGCAGTCCGTACTGTGTTTTGGTAATCGTTGTACTTGTGTCGGCTCGTGCATCTTTTGCCTACTTGCTGCTACTTGCCTGAAATCCTGAAATGCATTCTTACCCAAGACATTTACAACCAGATGTGATGATTTGTGCAAAGTCTGTCATGCTCAGATCAAGACATGAGGGCAACCCCTGGCTCAGAGACAAGATCTCTTCTGCAAAGCAAGCGAGAACACACTCCGGACGTGCTGCACTTTGTCTAAGAACGCGTGCCCGTGCAGGGAGCAGAGTTGCGTCTACTTCTTTACATTTTCCGACGTAATGCTTTATTTATGTTTGGTCTTGCAGGCAGCGGGGCTGGTTGGCGCGCAGCTTGAGTTACGTGCTGTTTGTAATGGAGCGAGATGTCAACAAGGATATGTTCACCAGAAATGTGGTGGACAACGTGCTCAACAACAGCAGGTGCGAGTCCACGAGGCGTGCAGAGTTTCTGTCATAATTTAAAAAAAGACAATGAGACTTTCTGGTTGAAAGAAATCCATGTTTTCAACATTATTCATGGAATATTACAACATTGCACATATAGAACACAATGTGTTTTTAATGACTAAACCAATTGTGTGCTCTACTACGTCCAACAACAGTGTGGAAACGGCTATTGTGAATGTTGCCACTGAGTTAGATGCTGCAGCCAGCCAACCAGGCAAGGAGCACAGGGCTGTGAATAAAGTGAAACAGAAAGCACGGACCTTCCTGCAGGAGATGGTAGCCAGCATTTCACCAGCATTCATCAGGTGCATTGTCTGCTAGAGATCCTCAATTACTGTAGAGTTAAAAAAAAAAGTATATTTGCATTTTAAAGTTTCATTGTACTGTCCTGAAACAGGTTTTCACAATGTTTTCCCATTGTTTAGACTCACAGGGTGGGTCCTCTTAAGGCTCTTCAATGGTTTCTTCTGGAGCATACAGATCCACAAAGGTCAGCTGGAAATGGTCAAGAAAGCTGCTACAGAGGTCAGTGTCATGAAGACGTAAAACACAGTGTCCCAGCATTCTGGGTTTTGACCTTTAGACTTGCACTTTTTTCCTGCCTCATATAACTTACCTTAATGCTTATGAGGAGTTGTTTTCAATTGTGTATATTTCTTAAATTTTGCAGCAAAATGTGCCCATGGTTTTCCTGCCCGTTCACAAATCCCACATTGACTACCTGCTCATCACCTTGATCTTGTTTTGTCACAACATTAAAGCCCCTCACATCGCAGCTGGAAACAACCTAAGCATTCCTATCCTCAGGTAAAACTACGACGGAGCTTGGTTTTCGAGACAGATGTAGAAATTAAATGTCTTTTGGTTGTGGACGAACAGGACAACAAAAGATTTCATTTTATTAATGTCATGTTGAATCGGTTATCCTGTTGATTTTTATTTCATGGATGTTTATGTCTTATTTTATGAGCCCCATATAAGTAGGTATATCACTTTCAGCAATGTCTCAGGCCAGCAAATAAACATTCAGGTGGATGAAGGACTTTATGACATGAAGAAATGATACCATAAAAAAAGTTTTTTTATGGTTAAAGAAAATAATAAGAGAAAAATACCAGCTGTAAGAAGAGTTTTATTGTTAAAAGTTGTTGAAAAGTTAGTGTCAAAATGATGACCTTGTCTCTTGCTCCCTCCAGAACTCTGATCCGTAAACTGGGAGGATTCTTTATAAGGCGTAAAATGGAGGAAACTGAGGATGGGAAAAAAGATGTATTGTACAGATCGCTGTTACATGCAGTAAGTTTGTTTATCCTTAAAGCGATGTTTATAAAATACAGTTTTTTCATAATGTGTTATTATGTAGCTGCGGGTCATCTTGGTTTTTCTTGACGTCACTTGTTATATATACTACATATTAATAAAATATATAAATATATTTTGTGGGTTTTTTATTAACTCTCTTTATAGTCAAAGCTGTAGGAAGTACAACCATTCATCCAGCTAAAAAACAAAACTTTAGCAGAACTCCTGTAGTTATGTACAGTGGTTGTGCATCATCTGAACATCTTGTTTTGTATTGAAAATCTTAAATATACTTGAAAGATAAACTAGGAGAAGCATGGATAGGATGGTTTATCAGATGGATCCAGCACACACCATACAGTATGTTTAGAGTTAATGAGTGTAAAAGAGTTGAGAAAACATTGGTCTCTGTGGTTTCCCACTGAGATACGTTTGTTTTGCACTTGCCAGATAAAGATTATCAACTGGAGACACGAGCAGCTGAAGTAACAGAAATGTCACTGAAAGAATACAGACTTACAGGAAGAGCCAGCTAGTTTGTATCTGTCAGGTTTGTGTTGAGCTCTTACAGAAAACTTGACTTGTTTGCCCTCTTCCATTGGTAGAGTCATGGACTCTGTCTTTGAGTGGTAGCCAAACCTGGTCTATTCTCTTCATGGCTTGTTTTAAACGCTGCAGTGCACAGTCTATTTCAGGACAAAGCACCTCCACTCCAAAGTGCTACATAGCCAAAGACAGCTGTGTACATAGTCTACGCAGGAGGACACTGTTGCACAACAGTTTGGTCAGCATGTGTCCAGTTCACTCGTTTTAACCAGTTTAACCATGTCTTTTGTTAAATTATTTGCTGTAAATGGCTGCTGTATACTGTATGGCTTCTAACACTTAGTGTTTGTCAACCTTCTGGTGCCAACCCCACATGGGGTCACCTGGAATTCAACTGTATTCAAACAACTGTATTCTTTCACATTCGTGAATTTTAATCGAGTTGAAATAGAATGCAGCATATAAAAATATCTGAGCTGGCGCATCGTGATTGACGGCTGTGATCACATGACCGCACAAGTGACAGCTAGCTTGAGTTCCTTTGAGTGCTTTGCACACTAATCTGGCCACCACCAAAATAGGGTCAGGGACCATTGGTCAAAACATTGTTTCACCTAAAACATGGAGTGCTTGTTTTTCTGTTGTTATTGCTGTTGTTGTTAACTAATTTTGTTCCTATGTCTCTTGCCTTAGTACACAGAGGAGTTGTTGTGTCAGCAGCAATTCTTGGAAGTCTACCTGGAGGGTACTCGCTCTCGGAGTGGTAAACCGTCCCCAGCACGTGCGGGCATGCTGTCCATTGTTGTGGACACGCTGTGCACTGGGTCCATCGCAGACGTACTGGTCGTACCAGTCGGCATCTCCTACGACCGCATTATTGAAGGCAACTACAATAGTGAGCAGCTGGTAAGTGTTTCGCTGATTCGCTGAAACCATGATGTTGTATCATCCATAGTGAGAAGTAGAGAAATGGTTATAATGTCAGGCTACGCAGTTATAACTTCAGTTGGTCTTGCATGTACATTTGATATATTTCATCCATTTGTGTTGTTCTTTCTACCAGGTATAAAGTGGAAACACGTAGAACCAAAATGCTTGAAACCTCCAGATGTCTACAGTATTTCTCTGTAGTCACTGGTACCATTTTGTCATTTTAAGTCACGGTTCTCTGTTCTCAGGGCAAGCCCAAAAAGAATGAGAGCTGGTGGGGTATAGCGTGTGGTGTGTTCAGGATGCTGAGGAAGAACAACGGCTGCGTGAGGGTGGATTTTAACCAACCCTTCTCCTTGAAGGTGATTTGCGCACTTACAGTTACTATGAATTGACTTAATTAAGAAGCTGTGTAAAAGGCAAAGATGTTTAGGATGTGACACAGCTGAGCCACACTAACTGTCTCATTGTGAATGAATTAAAGGAATACCTGAACACTTGGAGAAATCGTCACGTTCCACCACCGGAGTCCCTGGAACATACCTTGATGCCCGCCATTATTTCTGCTCAGTAAGTGTACACATTTTTTACACTTTTTGTCTTTCAGTGTCATTGCCGTGCCTGAGTCAGAGTGAAAACCTTTTTTCTTACTGGAATCAAGTCTGACTTGCTTTTTCTCCCCGTCCTACTGCTTTACAGCTGGGTTTGTTAGCTGACAATGTGTTTTTCAGAGAGGTTAATGCAGTTCAGTCAAGTCTTGTCCCTTTACTGTGTTAAAAAAAGCTTTTTTGTTAAACAATATTAGCCACAGTCAGCATGGTTCAATGTCTGTCAAGAAAAATATAGTCGCTGATGCTTTATTGAATTCATATGAAAAGGTGTCTTTTCAAACTGCCGATGTGACAGATTTGAATGTGACGTCTGTTCCTTTAGGCCTGATGCTCTGCCGTTTGAGGGACAGGAGGAGGTACAGGTGAACCGAGTGCTTCCCGATGAAATCTTCAGACGACAGCTTATTAACAACCTGGCCAAGCACATCCTCTACAGTAAGGGATTTGCCAATATGACATTTTCAGTTTTAAATATCCACCTTTAATAACATGTGTGTCATATAAGTTACAAACCTATCAAGAGTAAAGTCGGTTTGTGAGGAGTTTCCTACCTCACTCACAAACACGTGGTTAACATTTGAGGAAGCGCTCCCTTTTCTTTGCAAAGCACGATGCTGGCTTTTTTTTTTGTCCATATGCTAACGGGACACCTGCTCACTGGGGCTACTGCCCCCCACTCATGTAATATCATCCATCACGCCGTGTCCTTTAATTGAAATTCGACGCAGCACCGCATCGCTCCATCCTTTTTCACGTCGTTCAAGGAGCTTTGCCCCAGGGTAGCACCGCAGAAACTGGTTCATCCCTGCTTTTTCATTTTACTCCTTTTCATTCATTTGCTTGCTCCAACCAATCACAGAGCCCCAGGCTGGATGGCATGTTGTTTTGAGCCAATAGGATGGAGGGGAGGATAGCAAGGCAAAGGAGGGGAGGAATGCAGTACCACTGCTCTCCAATGCATTCAAAGTGAACTATGCTCAACATGACCTTTAGTAACCCCTGTTCCACAAACACATGCACGCTCTTTTGATTACTCTCTTAATGTGATGTTAGGCAATCGATTATTTTCAACTTACAGAATAATAATAATAGAAACTGTAGAGGATAGAATTTCACACATTTTCACTCATCTTCAGATTGAGATAAGAGCGCTGCCATCCCACAGCTCTCTGTAATTACCTGCGGGTCTTTTTGCTGTGTCTTTTTGCTGACTGTTGCCAATGATACCATTTTTGTCTCTTTCCTGCAGCGGCTAATAAGTCTTCAGCAATCATGTCTACGAATATTGTGGCCTGTCTGCTTCTCTACAGACACAGACAGGTACGTTTTACATTTTTTGTCTTTGTCTGCTTCTTTTTACGCCTCTTGTCCTACACCAAGGTGATCCAAATGTCAAATACCTCTGCATGACTGTACCAGATTATGCTTGTTGTACACCCACTCCCCCGATACCTTGAATGGTGAGCTGCTGCCCTCTGCTGGCACTTACATCAGAGTGTCTGACTGTAACTCATTGGCTGTCGTCTGCTTCAGGGAGTAGTGCTGTCGAAGCTGGTGGAGGACTTTTTCAACATGAAGGAGGAGATTCTGTCACGTGACTTTGACCTGGGTTTCTCGGGGAACTCCGAGGACGTGGTGATGCGTGCTCTGCACCTCCTCGGGAACTGTGTCAACGTGACCAGCAGCGCGAATCGCAACGGGGAGTTCACTATCGCCCCCAGCCATACTGTACCAGCGCTCTTTGAGCTCAACTTCTACAGCAATGGCCTTTTCCACGTCTTCATTTCTGATGCAATCATCGGTACGTTACATTGTTGTCTTATCAATGGATTCTTCCTGTGTTTTTCTCTCTTATCTGATGACAACAAAAAGAATAAACACAAAATTACCATAAATCCAAAATTAAATGTTGAAAACTCTCTTTTGTCTTTACAGCCTGTAGCATTCTGTCACTGCAGCGGGAGTGCAGTGTGGAATCAGCGTCTGACCAGCAGTCAGGTCGTCCTCGTAGTCCTCTTCTCAGTCAGGAGAGACTCATACGTAAAGCTGCCAGCCTCTCCCAGTTTCTTACCAACGAAGTTGCAGTAGCTCCTGTAAGTCCCAACACTTGTATTCTTTCACTGTCACTCTTTATTTGCATCAGAGCATAGCAGAAATTTATGATGTCAAAATGGGGTCACAACCCAAACAAATGCTGGGGACCACCACAGTTCAGTATAAAATGTATTATTTTTATTGCTAATCTTGTTGTCATTATCTCTACCCATAGGTTTTAACATGTATGATTGATTGATTGATTTTCAAACTAAGAATAAATATAAATATTTTCTAATGTAGCCATTTGTCTCATTTTCACAGCCGTGTCAGACCATCTACCAGGTTTTCCACGATGCAGTGACGCGACTGATCCAGTATGGAGTTCTATACGTAGCAGAGGTCGGTTCACATACACATTACAAATAGACCATTTGCCTGCATCTTTACTGTTTACTGTCATATTTATGAGGACTGATCTAAGTGGGCAGCTTTTGTGTGTCAGGAAGAACAGGAGGAGCTGAGCCCCAGCCTTACAGACGAACACTGGTCCCAGAAGTTCCCCGAACCCTTGTCTTGGAGAAGTGATGAGGAAGATGAAGACAGCGACTTCGGGGAGGAGCAGAGAGATAGATACCTGAAGGTTAGGAATTCTAATGCATTTAGAAATATATTTTTAGAGCCATTTAATCTGTGTAGATTATCTAGAAACTATTCACTTTCTTTGACTGTTATAATGAATGTTTTCTTTTATGTCGCCCTCAGGTGAGCGTTTCCGCAGAACCCCAGGCCTTCTTCATTTTCCTCCAGCGACAGCTCAGCCCAGTATTGGAGGCCTACAGTGGGGCCGCCATTTTTATCCACAGTCTGAGTCAGCCCATGGCCGAGTCCGAATACACGCAGAGGCTTTTCCGTTACCTGCTAACCCGCACAGAGAGAGGAATCGCTGCATACGGTAATGCTGCCCTACACACCTGCCTGTTCACTACATGGGAGAATTAAAGGTGTATTTTATACTATTTGTTTACATATTAGATATGGACATGAAATGTCAAGTTAAATGTCTGTATCTATATATAAACAAAAAATATTGTATTAGTTGAATGCTATCTAATTTATACGATACAGACGGGAGAACAGTAGGAGAGAATGTAATCAAACAACTGAGCATCTGTCATGCAGTTTGCAACACACAAGCAAGAATAATGTCATTTTGAAACCATAAACCCAGTAGGTGTTTCCAGTAATGTTGTTATAGCTAACATCCTACAGCATGATGATTTAATTTTTCTATCACAACACAGACAATCCAACTCTATTACAAGCACTGGTTTGTTAACAGAGCGATTGTTTAAGTCTTTTAATATTGAGAATTGTGAAACTGATAGACTGTACATTAGAAGAGGGTTATTACTGCATGATTCATTCATTTTATTTTAACTTCAAATCAACAGATACGCCACACGTTATTGTGCCCTTTGTCTTCAGAGATTTTATTTTCCTGTCATTTTTCCATCTGTTTCAGGAGAAAGTGCTACTCATTACCTGGTTAAGAACACAGTGAAAACATTCAAAGAGCTTGGGGTAAGTGTAAGAAAGTGTATCTTTTTAAGAATCACTGTGTAAACTCCTGTTTATTATGATGATATTTTTATTTTTTGTGTGACGTATTTTTCAGGTCTTGAAGGAAAAGAGAGAGAACAAGGTGACCACTCTGGAGCTGAGCAGCACTTTTCTACCTCAGGCCAATCGGAACAAACTCCTGCAGTACATTTTAGGATTCGCGCTGCTGTGACCAACACCTTGTACGTTACCACTCAGATCCCAGACTCCTCCTACCTAAGGGCTTCTACTGGTTACTTCTAAACAATCCCAGGTGCTACTCTGTGGAACAACTCATCAGGAAGTGCCTTCACCCAAACCTCGCTAATCGTTACCTGTTAACCATAAGAAGCCAGTCTTCCCTCAGTGCGCCAGTCTTCGACTTCCTGTCGCGGAACTGCGCAGCCACTGAAAGCATCACACTCGTAACGTTGAAGTTATGTGACATGAAAATCACCCCCTCTTTGTGAATTTTGCCAGTGAAGTTTAAATACATTTAGAAATATACATATAAAGAGCTACTTTAGACACTGGAACAAGTTATAAATAATTTAACAAAAGCCGGAACGAAACAAGTCAACATGATCTACAGTATACAAGTCAAAAAGAAACATGCATAGAGGTTAACACTGAACATACATTAATGTAAACCTCTCTGTTTGTCTGAAGCCCTGCTGTATTATCTCCACTGCATTATCACACCGTAGAAGAACAAGTGGGAAAATACTTCTTTAGACAGCGTTTTTACACACACACACACACACACTTCACAAAGAAACTTGATTGTAAAGATTCCTTCGACATCGTCCCTGCTGCAAAACGATCACAAACACCCGCAATTCTTCTCCCGCAGTTACTTGTAAATGAACTCCCAAATTCAAACCTGCTTCATTTAAAAAAATAACAAAAAATATTTACTCTGCCTAAAGTATTTACCTGGCAAACACAGCGTGTACCTGCGAACGTCCCTGCGTAGTCATGTGCATCTCTGATTACTTAGTGCATTCAGTAAAATGATGTGAGAGTGGTTTTGTTTAGACAAAATCTGTTTTTGTACAAATAATGAAACATTAAAAAAAGGAATGTTAACACGAACAGCAGTAAAAATACTGACTACCAGCCGGGTACACTTGGCTAACATTTAAATACAGCAAACTCAGAAAGGTAGGGTGACACGTTTTTAAAGGACATCTGTCAGTCACATGTGAATTATCTGCTTTTTCCCCCCTGTGGTGTTAATACAATAAATGAAGCCTTTTTAGCATCGCTGCTGACAAAGCAGTGGCAGTTTGTTAGCCGGCGGGCTACTCAATCCACTGTGTAATCATTTCAGAGGACAGGTCAGTTCAGAGTATAAATGTGTTGTTACTCTTCTGTGAGAAACCTTCTAAAAGGTCGTTTACTTGCTGCTCTACCTTTCAATTTTTTTTTTTACATAACTTGTTTCACATGATTTTTTAGGCCAGTTTATCACATAGTGTAAATATGTAGTCAGTCTGTGAGTAGACCCTGTGAATTTGAGTTTCTTTCTTTTCTAATCTTCATGTGAAATGCATGCTGGTACTCTACCATTGTAAATAACAAAAAAAAAATCCAGGAAATCACCCCGAAACTATTTACGTCTGACGTTGAAGCCTCAATGCAAAGACCTACGCCGACGTTTTTAAGCTCGTATTTATTAGAAATGTATTAAAGAGAAAAAGATTGTGGTGTCTCACATAAGTTATTGTTGGGTAATGAATGTTGTATGCACAAGGTGAAGGCATGTGTTTATACAGTAAAAAGGAGGTGGTGATGGATTCCTTTTGTGATGGGACTGTTAAACGTAAGCTTACCATAAAAATGTGAAAAGTCTGAATGTTTAAATCAGCGTTCTCCTTTTGTCAGGGCAATAATGATACTCGACATGTAATTTGCTATTCAATTCAATGGTTTATATTCATCATTTATACTGAAAAGGCCAGTGACTACATGTCTCTGCAGATTAAGAATTATTGATATTTTTTACCACGTCCGATGTTGACATCTAATCGCTGCATGTTTCTATGCAGGTTTTTCAAATGGAATGAACCATTAACAGAAAAGATTGGCCACTGACACCAATCATTGCATGTTAAAGAAGAAAAAAAGATGTGTGTTGGGGTTCAGAATGGTGTCAGTTCCGCAGGTCATTGGGAAGGCTGGACATTGAACGCATTCTGTAAGCCCGTTACGGTCTGTGTGTCCACACATGATGCAGATACTGTGCTGCATGCTTCCCTCTGGTCACCTTTATTCATCAACTCTTTCATGTCAACGCTACACAAACCTTGATTGATTTTTTTTTTCAGGTCTCGTGTGTAAATTTTGTTAAAATGCATTAGTAGTCATTTGTGTAGAATCCAATCTGTTACCTCCTGAATTTTCATCTTTACCTTTACTCATGTAGAGTACGTGATAAAGTCGGTACACATATTATTTTCTATGACCTGCTGCATAACCACTACAGATAAATGTGCAATTTTTGTAGTTTGAAAAATGCCTGTAACTAAAAATCGGGTGCATTCTTAATGCACCGTACTGTTTTTTGGTTGTTGTTTTTTTCCGTTATTTTTTTTCTGCATGTGAACCAAGGTTATTATAAATCCAGTAAAAAAACTGTAGGTTGTAAAAAGAAATTTGTTTGCGCACAAGTGGGGAAAAAAAACAACATTGTTACTAGGGGAAGAATCACCAGCTCCTCCAAACAAGTGTCACTGTTTTGTTCTTGCTTTTTGAAAAGCAAAGCACAACTGGCATTATTCAAGTTTGTTTTTAAATAAATATGTGATTAACACACATTTCCTTCTTCTTTTTCTGATAAAGTTACAGAATTCGTTGTGGACCGGTATCCTTCATCTTACAGTTCCTGTCCAAGTATGAACGTATGTCAGCCTTTAATTATCATGTACACACAAAAGGTTTTCTGTTTGTCTGCTGCGGGCTGATGTGAATATGTGGTGATTTAACACAGGGGCCCTCAACAACTTCATTACATACAATAAATAACAAAAATTATATTCAGCTTATGTAGACTTTCAGGTAAGTTCACACAGAATACTGTAATAACTAGAGACAGTTGGTGATGTTTGCACTTCTGCCTAATACCAGAAATGTGGAACTCAATGAGCAATGTGAGAAAACAGTCACTGCTTTCATCCTGAAAATGAATTTACCTCCTGGGTAGAATTAGTAAAACCTGGATATTTGAACCAACCAATGGGGATCTTTCTACATCTGTCTATGAGTGTAACATTCTTGTGTTGTTGGTCAGATGATGACCATGTTTGTGTTATTATCAGGACAAACATACAGTATGATTTTTAGAAAATTGAGGGGTTTTATTCATAGATATTGAAGTGGATATTTTGAGTTAAAAGTACAGTGCAGTGAAATACTGTAGAATCCGAGGCAAAAAGCAAATCATACTGCTTATGCTGCAGTTCCAGAAATAACTGCTTATAGTAATGTTTTGAGTTCAGTTCTATGATTGTATAGATTATACATTTTTTATAGAACATTATATTACAAATAACACATTAACATAATATATATTTTTTTAATATTCAGTATCAACAACAAAATTACTAATTTCTATGTTATAACCGTAAAATGAAAATGTGTGTATGAAATTTGCAACATCTTTATCTCATATTACCTTATATGAAAATGTGTGTATGAAATTTGCAACATCCTTATCTCATATTACCTTATGCTGCACTATCTTTGCTGTGCTGTGCTGTGTCACAATGACAAATAAAGATAAGTTTTATGCTGCACTATCTCGTCCGATAGATGGCAGTGTTGAACTTCCAAATTTAAGCGACCCCGGCTATTAACAGAGAAAAAGAAGCAGAGCCAATTAGCGAGCAGCGGTTGCTCATACGCGGAAGTATGAACAAAACAAAACGTAGCTGTCATATTTATATGTTTTCGTGGCGCAGAAGCATTATTTTACATAAATAAACACACGTGAAGTAGAAATATTTTATTCAGATGGCTCTGTCTTGGTTCCACGTCGTTATAACGCTGTGTATAGCGGTTTTATGTGTTATTGCACAGAAACAGGGTAAGTGAATTAAACATAAGGAAGCTGAATAATAGAAATTGAAAGAAATATTAACAACTCTATGTTTGTGAAGATGTTGATAATATACACCTGAGGTGCCTCCACGTGACTAATTTGCTGTCATTGTTTTTCTGTAGTGGACCCTCCTCTCATAGCAGTGGTCTTCGGTTTGTGCCCTCTGCTCTGTGTAACTTTGCTAGTCTGGAGAGACTTCCGGGCGAAGATGAGAGGTGAAAGCCGAAGGTTAAGCAGTGTACTCGGTCAGTATGTGGCCCTGAGAGCTGTAGGCTGGCTGGGCAGAAGGCAGAGGATGAAACTGGAGAATGACACCCTGAATGTGAAGAAGGTCCAGGAGCAGACCCTGTTCAAGCGCCTGCGTAACAACGCCAACACGTGTTATGGAAGACAGTATAACTTCAGTTCAATGACAGGCAAGGCGATAACATTCATTAAAAAAAAAAAAAAAACGTTTACAATTATGTATGTTTAATGAACAACTGGTGTCTGTTATACATGACATACACGCCTACTCCCACTTTTAATTTAATCTTAGCAGCTTTTGGAGAAAAAAATAGACAAAATAGACAATGTGAAGATCTCACTGTACACTGTTGTCACTGTTTGTTCAAAGTAAACTTTATTTTTCAGAGATTTCTTCTTTCCGGGCATGCCACCCTATAACTACTTATGAGCATTATCGAGAGTGGATTAGACGAATCGCTGCAGGGGAGGAGAAGGTGATCACTGCAGAGAAGCCTTTGATACTAGCCATGACCTCTGGGACTTCAGGATCCAGTTCCATGCTGCTTAGCACCAAAGACACCAACCATGAGTTCTTTCTGCAGGTGAAGTCACCTTTTGTCTTTTTTAAATGTTGAAAATACAAAAACACTGACTAACATATCCATTGTTTTTTCCCTATAGGGGGTCACTGTATGTATGGATGCCATGAGGCAGGCATTCCCTTCAACAGACAACCTGCAGCTCACAACTAAATTCTTTTACATGCCTACTTTTCGCCAGTCCGAGGCCGGAATTCCCATTGGACCAAACTCTTCCACCCCAGCTTCTTCCCGCTTCATGCTAAGCCTCTATACCACCCCAGCTCCAGCCTTTGAGGTAAACAAACATGTTCATAACCATAAATGTCATCTCTTTGTAACATAGCGGATGATTTACTGACTTTAATTTCAAAGATTTCTAAGGTTACATCTGTGTTAAATGTCCCTGTTTGTCAAGGTTGTCAATGAACAGCATGCCCTTTACCTGCACCTCCTGTTTGCTCTGAAGGATGCCACTGTAGGTATCTTGGAGTCCAACTTTGTGTCTACAATCTTCTATGCTTTCACTGCACTTCAGGTACAGCACAGTCAACTTTGTTAGAAACCTGGTACATTATTTATTTAAAGCTGTTAATAGATATCTTAATCATTTTTGCATTATTCTCTCTTTACTTGATTTGATTTGTAAAATGAGAAAAGTAACATTGAATTTCCTGTATAATTCTGGGAGAAATTAATGGCTGACTCCAGTGTGATATTCTCTGAAAACACATGGGTTAAAAGTGTATTCATCTCCTGTCCTGTAGAGTCACTGGCAGCAGCTCGTTAAAGACATTGAAGAGGGAAAAATCAGCAAAGATCTGGCACTGGAACCCAAAGTGAGGGTTGTCCTCGAAGCACTGATGAAGCCAGACCCAGAGAGGGCCGCTCAGCTGCGGGCTCACTTCCAGGAAGGCTACAGGGGGATTGCCAAGCGGCTGTGGCCTCACCTTCACCTGGTGCTGGCAGTAGACTCAGGTTCCAACCAGATCTACGGGGAAATGTTGAGGGAGAATTACTGCCAGGGAGTGCCGTGCTACTCACCTTTCTATGCTGCTACTGAAGGTCAGCCATATGACACATTCACATTCACACAGTGTCATTATGTAGGAACTAGCCTGGCCAGATGAGTAAGTCAAAAGATGTGAGAACATTTCTGACATACCTTGAGGCTTGGGGTACAATCAGTGACTGTATCATGACAAATGCTTGACTCATTACTGGATCCTTTATTTAAATTGACTTAAATGGTAGTCTGAGTGGTTGAAATAAGATTGACTCAGACTCTTATTTTAAGTATAATGAAGCCAGTAAATATTCACAGCACATAATATTTTACACACTGTGTTATGGTACAACCTCATTCTAAAGTGGATTACATGTATTTTCCTTCATATTATTCAACACACTATAGCCCGTAGACAAAAAAAGGGTATTTAATTTTTTCCAAATTAATGAACAAAGCAAAATAAGTGAAAAGATAGCCTGTACATTATTATTCACAGCCCTTGTCATGTGACTGATAATTAAGCTGAGGTGCATCCTGTTCCCACTGATTAGCTTTCTGACATTTCAACAGTCTGATTGGTCCAGCTGTGGTAAATTCAGTTTATTGAGCATGATTTAGAAAGGCAGTATTATAGTTGGTGTTATAAGTCTGAGCTAAAACCGCTCAGTAACTGGGAGAGTTGCTAAAGAGCATCATAATCGAAAAGACTAATGTAATGTATATCTATCTACCAGAGGTGTTCTGACAAAGTCTCAAGCAAAGACTGTCATTACTAATGTATATGTTCAATTGTTTATTAATTTTTCATACATCTGTAGAATCTCATTGATTGATTTGAATTGAATTAAATGTGTGAACCTGGCAGGACTGATAGGGGTGAACCTGTGGCCCGGAGACTCCGACAGACGCTATGTTCTGTGTCCTCGCTCCATGTTCTGCGAGTTCCTGCCAGAGGGTGGCCTCGAGGAAGAAGACCCTCACACTCTGCTCATGGAGGAGGTGGAGGATGGGCAGAACTATGAGCTTGTCATCACAAACGCATCGGGACTCTTCAGGTATGACGTCAGGGTGTTTAGAACTGGCTCGTCCTTTTACTATTGTCCTTCAGCCCTGGATGGGTTTTTCAGTTTATTGTGACAAATCTCTGGAGATTTTAGACCTTTCCAAACCATTCTGCAGGTTTATTGTAAACCATACAAGCTGTGAAAATGTTCACTTATTCAAAAAAAGTGTCTTGTCATTGATCAGAGGACTAAAAGGAAGGAGTATTAAGACTGACTAAATGTGTTGTTTTGTTTGTGACCTTGCTGTCTCACTGCTATGGAGCCTGATTTATCTTTCAATGACCTCCAGACAAATAAGCCATAAAAAGTTGTGAGACTGATATTATGTCTCATAATTGCTTTGTGTCATTGTTATTGTGATGTGACCTTACTTGACTGTGCTGGATGATGAGACACGTTCCAGGATTTTCTCTCTGTCAACTTCATGCCATTTAAAAAAAAACCCAAAACATTAAGAACCACAAATAGTGATTTATTCTGTTATTTACAATAATGTTTGCTGTTTTTGCAGATACCGCCTTGGAGACATTGTTAAAGTTGTTGGATTTCACAACCAGTGTCCCATTGTGGAGTTTCAATACAGGTGCTGTTCAGTGAACACATTGTGCCTCATCTGGTTCGTCCGTTTCCTTTTGTAATAAAGAAGACAAATGTCCCTTCTCTTTTTCTCTAACCACATTAGACGAGGTCAGATGTTAAATGTACGCGGAGAGAAAGTGTCTGAATCGCTTTTCCTTAATGCGCTGAAAAACGCTGTGGCTCAGTGGCCAGGTGCTCAGCTGGTCGACTACTGCTGTGCAGAGAGTGGCATTCTGGGTAAGATTTCCTCATCATACATCTAAGTTAATTCCGAATGTTTATTTACAAACTCTCTTGAAATTAGGATAAGCTTAGTAATGATGTCGCATAAAAGGGGGCAGTGGTGGTTAAGAAAGCGGACTTGTGTCCAGAAGGTTGCCGGTTCGAAACCACCAGGTGCCACTGAGCATGGCACTGTCCCCACACACTGCTCCCCTGGCCGCCCCGCTTCAGCTGCCCTCTGCTCACTCAGGTGATGGGTTAAAGGCAGAGGTGGCATTTCATTTCATATTCGTCCTGTATTAAAGCTCTGCCTTGGGTCATTCACAGTAGAAGAACAGTTATGGCCTCATTTACACCCTACTATGTTGCAGGAGATTCTACAGGAAGCTCAGATCCTCATTACCAGGTGTTTATTGAACTAAAGGGTTTGAGGAACTTGACAGAGAAGCAGCGTTACAAGGTAATCGTACACCTTTTTGTAATACACATTAAATCAACACAAAAATGGAAACAAACAAAGCAGAACCTTGTGGCTATGTAATGAGATCAATTTATAATTATAAACATTTTCCTCTCTCCTCTTCCTCCTCAGCTGGACGCCTGTCTTCAGCAGCTCTCAGAAGTCTACAGGTCCTTCCGCATCAAAGGCAGCATCGGACCAGTAAGGGTTCAACTGGTGGTGGAGGGTGCATTTATAGAGCTCCGGGAGCAAATGATGGCCTTTTCAAACACCTCAGCTAACACTTTCAAAATGCACAGAGTGCTGCACAGAAAAGAATACGCAGAGTTCCTACTGGGAAAAACGGTTTCCTAAGAGCTAATAATGTGGAAAACTACTAGGAAGAGTGAGTTGACGTGTTTCCTAAGAGCTAATAATGTGGAAAACAGATTTCATGGTTCCACAGATATTTACAGGTCTGGATGAAGAACTTTGGCTGTAGGCTGGTTTTGACTCTTCCCTATAGTTCTGAAGTACGTTAGACCAGTACTAGGAAGAGTGAGTTGACGTAAGCGATGCTTTCTGCTTCAGCTGTTTGGTTAAAAAATAACATTTGTCTGTTGTTAACAGTTTGCTAAAAGCCTGTATGCTCTCCACATCACATGTAAATTACTGTCATAATAATAGTGTGACGGCACTATGGCTGCGGAGGGCAGTGACTGACCAGATCACAATTGTGCGTGTTCAGTTTTCACACCAGCGCGACTTGTCTGTTCTTTTAGCCACTGTATGAAATGCATAGAAAACATCTTTTTTATTTATAGTTGTGTTTGTGCAATCATTGAATCAACAGTTTGCTGTTGAGTCTAAGTCTAATCAAATGAGTGTGTGGTTTGATATGTTGGACTTCCATACAGTGTTTATTTCTGCCTCATTTGATGAGTTGGTGGCGCTGTGGTACATCAGAAATAAAATGTTGGTTTTTTTTATTGGGGAAAAATATAATATAAAATCAAATATAATAATACTATAATAGAATGATAATCTTTGACTTGGTTTAGACTGTGATCTTTTACATGCTGCGGTATCGAGACAGAAAGATTGTACTAACCTCGCACTTTTTAATCCTGACTGCTACCAAACAACAGTTGTTGTCAAAATGACAAACTCTCGAAGCACCTTCTGTCGGTTTCCTCTCGTGCTGTTGCACGGCACACTTCTCTCCTGCGGTTCCTCCTGTTCATAAAGTGGGCTAATATATTTAGAAACGTCCCATTTCAGCAGAGATTTGATGTTTTTTTTTTTCTATCACCAATAATCTCCATTACACTGCTTAAAACCTGTTTTTTATTTAACATTTAAATTCAATTTATTTCACACACATCCTGTTCATAAGCTCTGGAGGAGGCAGTGGAGCTATGGCCTCAGCATTTTGTCTGTGTTGGATGTTTTTTTTTCCTACTGCAATAATAATTGTTTTTTTTTTATCCAGTGCCTTAAAAGTCATGGCATCCTGAATATTGCTGTATTATTATTGTGTTTGGTTCCTGATCTGGGTGGCCTAGTAGTCGGGTGCCTCTCATGCCATTCAGTAAATCCCCAACTCCCACCAGTAATAATGAGGCCTGTGTCAGGGAAGTGTGTCAAAGCACTGTGCAGATTTCACCTCTGAGACCCTTAAACAAGGGAAACACCGTCATATACTGTTATAAACTAAAAATCAAAATGCCATTGTCTGAACTAAAGTATAAAACTAAACAGATATTATGATAAAATATAATCTGTAGATTTAATTCACTGGTTTTTATTCATTCATAGCTTTCCCATTGTAATAACAAAACCTCCCAGGAGTTTAGCAGGTATCCAAGGTTGGATACAGCTGCATTTTTTTAAAAATATGTATGTAGTAGTTTCATGTTTTTTTTTTTATGAATTTACTATGATTCACCTTTAACACAAAGAAAAAAAGATCACTGTGGGTTTTAGTATTTTTAGCCTCAGACTGCAACTTTGACGTAGTCATTTCAGATCTGGGATCTTTGTTCAGCTGTTGAGTCAGGCGGTCTGGTGTGCCTTCCTCACGTGCCACCAGGATTTGCTGTGGCGCAGAGCTTGTGTGCACATCTGCTCAGTCACAAGTTAATTCATTGTAAACAGATGAGATTTGAGAATGACAGGCCTGATTTCTCAATGGGTTTGCGGAGGAAAGGAGGACACGTTTAATTGAGAGGGAGGGATTTTGCATGTGGAGTCGAGTCTTATCTCTCCATCTTTGTGTCAGGGTGAGGTTTCATTCAGTTTTAAAATGGCAGACCGGTTGTTTTTCAACTTGGGTTTTAAATAAAAACACTTGATGTAAATCACATTCTCTTGTAGCTGTATGTGCGGACAATAAGATGCATGGGGATTGTGGGTAATGTAGTCGGGGTAAGGTTTCACCCGGCTCGTTGTGTGTGGCTCGGCTGTATGAGATTGTGCAGTAGGTAGTGAGCATGTTTAATGGATAAGCCTGTTATTAGTGACAAGAGGAGATGGATAGACTACAAGTAGAAAGGACAATGAGGGGCCATTAAAAATAAATAGCAGTGAAGAGCTGCCAAGCCTTGAATAGGATCCGAGTGAAAGAACAGTACTCTGTCCATGTAGCCAGTCTCCAACTCTCACTGCTCAGTTTTTTTGTTGCTTTTTTAATGTCCTTTTCTGTCGCTCACACCAGGATGCACTATCCACTGAATTCATCTATGCATTTCCTGTGGCTTTTCTCTATAGAATTCACCCTCTCCCCCATGCACACAAGGTGACAATCACCCCATCTTGGACTTGTGTATTTTTTATTACCAAGCCATTTGATTGGCTGCCATGGTGTTTAAATACAATGAAAACTTTCAAATTTCTTTAGTTTTTTTTTTTTTTTTATTCCACACAGCAGCTGCGTTGCTTTGACTTTGTCAAGGACACCAACACCCACACCAGAAATTTCTGCTTCATTTTTGAATCTTTTTATTTACTTGACGTTACTGTCATTTGATGAATACTAGTTCTGGCTGTTTTTGTCATTTAGACAAAGCTTAAAGAATAGCCTTGGTGGAGTTCTCTGTGGTCAAAGTGAACTCCAAATGTATTCCAACAAAGAGAAGAGGAGAAAGTGTTTGACATTAGACTCACCAGGCAATTTTATTAAGAGTTCAGTGGAGTAAGATGTCAGAGTCCAAGTCAAAGAAAAGTTTAGGTTTAATCCAAAAAAGGCAAAAAAAAAAGTTTCAGCTAAGTTCTTACAGTATCAAGTCTGAGTCAATGAAGAAGAACTGAACTCAAATCTGCTTAATGTCTTCAAGGCTTCAACTAAGTCTCCTCTACTGCGTGAAGGAAACTTGGAGTTCAGTCTAGGTCCAGACTTCATAGTGTTTCAGTCGGGACGGATTTAAGTGGATCCGTTTTGATTCCTTAAATGTTTGTCAGAGTCCAATCTGCTTATCCAGTTTAGAGACATTCGAGGACATTTCCAGTTATGGGTTGTTGGAGCTTGAGTTCAGATCAAACCTCTAATTCATAAAAACATCTGTTATTGTTGTCAGCTGTTAGTTTTTCCTCGTGTCAAAGTTGGTGTGTTCATCCATTAAGTCCTGGTGGAAAACATCTCCAGGCTTATCTTTTTAATCCGCTCCTAGCAGCTTTTACCCACAGAGCCTTAATTCTCTCATGAGAATACTGCAGTCTGGGGGTGGGCGGGGCAAAGGGTGTGGGGGGGCAGTGACTAGCTTCATCACCAACCGTGAGAATGAAACTTTCAAACAGTGTGAGTAGCAAACAAGGGCTTCCGTCATTTAAACCAATTAAGGTTCCATATTTAGA